TATGAACTGATCAGCCAATGACTAAACCAATTCACTAGTTATTTACTATTTCTTATTATTTAATGCGCGTATCAAGTGCACGATGTAAACTAGGCCATTGTATGTACATACATACATACTTATTGCGTTCCATTTATCCACGACAAACTGTGTTCGAGTGTGTAAGTGTGTTGACTTGTGTCGGTGCGTGTCTCCCAGAGGGAAAACAGCCTGGGTGCGTTCTTTTAGGCATCGGATTTGGCAACCGCTGCGCATCGGATTTGCCGGCTGACGGAAATCTGCGGTGCAGTCGACTGCGCAGTCGGGCTAAAAGAATGAATTACTGCAAAAACTGCTGTATCCGATGCCTAAAAGAACGCACGGCCTACGTATCCGCAGCTTACGGCAGCACCTCGTGCACTTTCTGCACCTGGAACGCTTACGAGGCAGAAAACAAACGCGTGATTCACTCTTGCCCCGCCGAGAAGAGGCAGCGACAAAAGATGTGACGCGCCAACGTAGACGCTGTATAAATTAACCGCGGGAAGCGCGGGATTTGCCTGAGACGTGGGGACTCGTGTCCGTTTCGAAAATTCATCGGCCGCGTCGCGACGCTGACGCGAACGCCGTCGACTGTACCCGACACGCGGTGGCGTGACGTTTACGCATCAATCAACCGCGATACCTTTATCACGTTGCCGCTTGTCGAAGGCAGGAGCATTGCGATTAGGTACGCGAGACACGGCTCGGGTACTGCCGCTCGTGTTCGACGCAGGTGCGAAATCACAGAGGCGTCCGTCTTACTCTGCAGCGTCGATGTAACCGACCTCGAGTCCCTTCATGACATCGGCGGAACATTTTATTAGCCTAATAACGATAACAAGTGCCAAAAAACTAACTACCGCGCTTGTTATCTGCTTTATTATATATCATGGCGTCATACATCTTATTTATGGTACAGTTCCCAAATGTTTACCAAGTATCGAATACCGATAACCGTGAAAGTGGCGGTTTAGAGGCGACGATGTTGCGTCCCGCGTGTTTCATTCCCGATCAATTTCTGCACAGGTAGCGATTCTTGCAAATGGTTGCTGACAGAAGGCAGATACAAAGGCGACAAGGAATGGCAACCGTACGGGTGTATGATGCACCATTATACGCAAACGTAAGATTGTTACTTTCAACTGTATTCGAAGGGAGGAGGTAACTGTTGTACACCTACAAGAGTTCCGTACAAATTTGCAGAGACAGCAGAAGATGTATGAGATATCTAGCTTTCATGGGCCACCATAATCATTTTGTGTTCACCGGCGACGCTAGAGTAAGGCAATTGTATAAATCTTTCGTTTCGCAATTTATGATCGACGGCAAAGCATCGGACCTCACGGAACTGCCGGAGAACTCTGACTTGGGTTTCAATGACGGGCAGCTCAAGTTGAACGTACAATTTCTGTGGAGGCCGCGACTCGATAATTCCATGATAGCAGATCTCAGAGGCTGGATGGTAGGACGCGTTTAATATATCCCTGGCGAGAATAACAAGCTTTATAAAGCGTTGATAACCGTCAATTTAAGGTTTTTTAAAGGTTCATACGCTTTCAAACTTAATGAGAATGCTTGCACAACGCCGTTGTGTTTCGAACGCTTTCAGAACGCTTATAAAATACTGTATGTAACGTTTCATAAAAGTTCTACAACGCCAAGTTCACAAATGCTATATACAAACGTCTTCTAGACGCCGCAGCGTTGCAATGTTCGCTCTACAAATTCTCTATTGGCCGTTTCTAAACTCAACGAACTCCTGCAGACGCTCACGTAAATGCTATACAAACACTCGTGAAACTTCTTATTTTTGCCAGGGTGGCGAAAATAACAAGCTTTATAAAGCGTTGTTAACCGTTAAATGAAGGTTTTTTAAAGGTTCATACGCTTTCAAACTACGAGAATGCTTACACAACGCCGTTGTGTTTCGAACGCTTTCAGAACGCTTATAAAATACTGTATATAACGTTTCATAAAAGTTCTACAACGCCAAGTTAAAAAATGCTATATACAAACGTCTTCTAAATACCGCAGCGTTGCAATTTTCGCTCTACAAATTCTCTATTGGCCGTTTCTAAACTCAACGAACTCCTGCAGACGCTCACGTAAACGCTATACAAATACTTGTGAAACTTTTTATTTTTGCCAGGGTGGCGAAAATAACAAGCTTTAAAAGCATTGATAACCGGTAAATAAAGGTTTTTTAAAAGTTCATACGCTTTCAAACTTTATGAGAATGCTTGCTCAACGCCGTTGTGTTTTGAACGCTTATAAAATACTGTATATAACGTTTCGTAAAAGTTGTACAACGCCAGGTTCAAAAATGCTATATACAAACGTCTTCCAAACGCCGCAGCGTTGCAATTTTCGCTCTACAAATTGTCTATTGGCCGTTTCCAAACTCTCAACGAACTCCTGCAGACGCTATACAAACACTCGTGAAACTTTTTTGCCAGGGATATCGTACAGCAAATAAACATGTGTATGGAGAGATTGAACGAATGGTAAAATTTGTGCATTCTTTCACGCCGCAGAAGACAGACGCACCTAGTGTAATTGTCGCCGGGTCCGCCGCGGCTACGATTCTTGCAAACAACAACAGCGATACGCAACTCTATTCGGAATATAACACTGGCTTGATTCGATTGGTACAGCCGATAGACTTTTTGGCCAAGAAGGGATCCCAGTTTCTATGGCTCTTGCAAGATCCTGTGCTCAAGGAAAGACTGCCTGCGCAGCTGTTGAGTTTAGACAACAAACAGATCAACTTGTGCAATAAAGCAGCCGAGAAGGTATAACATCGACGATACATTTATCTCAACATACACATACGCATACGAGGGAAAGGATAAATGCTCTATAATCACCGTACGCAGATATTGTCTCATAGCGAGGCTCGTGTATGGCATAGCAGCAAGCTGGTCGGGACCGGTGTTCTCGAGCAGAGTCCGGATGGTTATTTGGCGAGTCCATTGTCACTTCGTCATAAAGTTCAAATACTGTTAAACACATACTGCAACGATCATATGAACTTTGATGACGGCAGTTGTTGCAGTTATCCCGAATCGGCAACTACTCTACAATTGTTAAGTCTGTCTGCGCTCGCATTATTGTAATTATTTTCACTTCGGTACGTTTTAATTTAGTATCTTTCTCGCAGAGAATAACTAACGCTCCTTTATATGTAGCTTGACAATAGGAGGGGGAGTGTGGCTGCACAGGAAATTATGCAAGTATCGTTCCGAGGTGTCGTATTCTCACGTCACTACCGAGGAAGTAGAAGATACGGAAGACACCTCGGCAGGTACCTCGGAGGTCATTCAAGTTAAGCAGCCTGAGGTACAAGATTTCTACACCCTCGTTACATCGCTAGCCCTCTTTTCTATTATATTAGCGTATTTTTACTTGTGTGATAGGTAAGTGGTCCTCGCTTGACGAGATTCATTAACTTTGTCTTCATATCGCCAACAGCTTTATAGTAATTTCTTCCTTTTCTCGCACTTGACTCGTAGAACCAACTTTTTCATGAAGGAGAACAAGTATTACAGTGAATTCAGTTTTTGGCTACCGCTCGGCTATATCCTGGCTCTCGGATTATTTCTCACCGAGGATCGCGAGAGAGGACCGAGAGTGTTAAACAGAGAACAAACGGACGAATGGAGAGGTCTGATGCAAGCGGTAGTGCTCATCTACCATGTCACCGGTGCCAAAAACGTCTTGCCGATCTACATGTATTTAAGATTAATTAATTCTGCCTACTTATTTCTCTCTGGATATGGACACTTTTATTACTTTTGGCAAACTGGCGACGTGTCTCTCGTCCGATTTGCTAGAGTGCGTATTAGAAAAGTGGTTTGTGCATAAACCGTTAAAGATGCGACTTTCGCAAAAGAGAATCCGCAAGATCCAATCTGGTTACTGTTTCAGGTCATGTTTCGATTAAACCTGTTAACAGTATCCTTATGCCTTTGCATGAACAGGCCGTATCAATTTTATCATTTCGTACCACTGGTATCGTTCCGGTTTCTAGTGATTTATTTTCTGGCTTGGTTACCACCCAGAATATATTCTGGAAGTTTGGCGGAATACGGACCCAGAGCCTTGTTGTACTTCGCTTTGAAACTCTTGGGTCTTGTATCGATAATTACCATACTGTACATGTCGGAGGTAATATAAACAACTTGTACCGGTGAACGTATACTACGTTTCAAAGTAATGCCAAAATATAACGTATTTCATCAGCGCAGGTGTTTTTTGAGAAAGTCTTCGTCACGAGACCTTGGAAAGCATTATTCGTGACGACTGATGACGATATCCGCGAATGGTGGTCCCGTTGGAGAGTCGACAGATACAGCGTAGTCTGGGGCTTGACCTTCGGAGCTGCTCTCGTCGCTCTTCAGAGAATAGATCACATCCCGGGCACCGCGTTATCTTCTGTACTGGCACTGGTCTCCTTAGTGGCGTATACTACTTTCACGATTTTATGTCACTCTGTGTCCGAGTGCGAGGAAATTCATTCTTATGTCGCGTTTATTCCGGTAAATTTACTTCCGCTAACTGTCCACTCGTTGAACTCACTTCATTGCTATTTCATTATTAATATTACTTGTTATTAGATTATAGGATACATTGCTCTCCGAAACGCATCATTGGCATTGCGGGGGAAACACTCTGCACTTTTAGCTGGATTGGGTAGAATGAGCTTGGAAACATTGGTGGCGCAAGGTCATATATGGTTGGCGGCAGATTCGCACGGAGTACTTGTACTATTACCCAGATTCCCAGTGCTGAATCTATTGGTTACGTCGTTTATTTTCATCTGCGCCAGTCACGAAGTAAATAAAACAAAATATTTCTTTCACATTAATGGAAAATAAAGATGATAATTTCAATGACAATTGTAGAACAAAAACTACTTGCTCTTACGGAGACTCTATCGTTTAGATTCACAGATTGACGCACGTTTTGGCACCGTACGCAGTACCGAACGATTGGAAGCTAGTAGCACGCAATTTGCTGCTCTTTATAGCTGTGTTGGTACCTATCGGCATTCACGATGGAATGTTTTAAACAATTCTGATTGCCATCCAATGCATCAAAATCAAAGATATTAGCAGTATTAACGGGTACGAGGAGAATTTTTCATATCATAGGCCAGTTGAAGGAAAGATTAATAAGTAAAACTAAGTAAGTAAGTAAGTATCGATCTGTATCATGCTTTTCTTACAATAAAAGATGAAAACTGGAACTGGATCATATATTTCAAACATTTATTGCAATTTTTTAGTTCGATTTTGTATCTTACACAACTTGTGTATTTACAAGCTTGTAAAATTATTCAACTTTGTAGTCTAATAAATGTATATATACATATACAGTGTAAGGAAAGCAAGTCCTGTTTCATTTGTTGTCTAAATTGTATTTTGTATTTGTAATTTTGCAAAATACCTTACTAATTGAAATAGTATCATCTATTAGCTGCCTGGCCATTGTGTTTCACATGGCTGGTGTACACATCATAACCGAGAGATATCGTATTATCGTAAAACACCCTGTATCGCGTGGGAAGAAAGTAAAAGTTAATGACTTGGGCCGGCGGCCATATGATCCATTCTGCTATGTACAGTTTGTGCGCTTTGCTTCTGATTTCATCTTTAAATTCAGCGAAACTGCTATTCTCGAGTAGGGCCAGCGTTAAAAAGAAAGTGCTTATACAGAGGGGCGAGCCAATTAGTTGATCTACAACCACTTTTTTCAAAACCATACCGATGGTGCGTCCAGCCATTCTGGCGTCTAAAAAATTATACCAGTAATGACAAACTATTCCGATGGACATGCCAGATAAGGACATATTTCTCGTTCTGGTGAAACACCATCTGTCCCATTCGCCCTGAAGGACACAGAAGAGTGATTATCCGACATCGTAAGATACAATGAAGGCTGCAGTTAACGAACCTTTAATATCTCGTGATGTTGCTCCAAAACGTCTCCTAGGCCGGAGAGAGAAATCGACAGGCCGATATTTGTGTACAACAAATTTTTCGGAGAGAACATGCGTTCTTTTAAGTGATTTATCCTACCAAAGGACAGTCCCATTCCTCTCGCGATGTTTATTGCCTAAAATGCAAAACGCTATTATTGGTTGCTGCACCTTGCGACTGCTGCGTCACTCCAAAGCGTAAACGGTACACCGTTTGTCTTTATTTGAAACCTTGCTATTCATTTTGCCACATGCATACAAAATATATAATTCATATATGTGTCAGAGTTGTAATATACTATTGTTACATTATCCATGAATAGAAAGTATCGACATCGGGAGTTATTTGACACGCATATTATATATAAAATGCACGAGCTTATTAATTGACGGTGACCAATATAATCTGGTATTTATTGCAATAGAAATTATAGACTACAAACACCAAGGTGGTTGAAGCCACGTGCGCCCGCGTTAAATTAAAGAACCGATTACATTGTTGCAAAATGTTTATTAGGTTAGTTGAGAGTTGGGGTTAAGTTAGGAACGTTTGTAGCTCGACGTTACCGACGGATGGACTCGCGCGACCATTCGCCGAGCGCCAAGTGGCAGTCGAACGTGATTGGTTGTCTAGTTTGCGCACGAACCTGATTGACTACAGGGGGGGGGGGTCTAGCGGTAAGATACCATATTGGTTTTCAGTTTCTTGTAGGCCCGGTGGTAAGGTAGGTGGCGCTACGAACACTGGTAACACAAATTACACGCAAGTTATTTAGCCCTGGTCTATGTTTCGTGTATGTCTATGGTTGCTTCGTAATCAGCTGACCACCTAACGGCTGCTAACGGCTCAGCGACGTTGTTTCGCGCCAACGGGACAAAAAGGCGGGCTTTCGCGTGACACGGCGAGGCGCAGGTAAGACACCGAGGCACCCGAGTTAATAACCTGTGCGCATTTGCGAGATCGGTGTACGTAAGGTAGCTATGTCGCAGCCGTCAGTGACCGCTTACTTTAATACGCGCAAACGGCAGGCGTGCGACGATTTACGCGGCAAGTCTAAGATTTTGTTGCGGGAGGGGGTTAACCAAGCGCCGATAGCGCAGAGTGTCGGCAACTCGGAGCGGCCCGCGGCGTCCTCGGACGAGGCAAGTTTCCCTCGGGCAGGAGTCAGCCCGAAAGTCGTGTCGAAGGAAGGCGCTCGGGTAAACAAGGCGGTGCGCAATATTCGGTTCGACTCCTCGAGAGCGGCCCCCGAGAGAACGGGCAGACCCAAGGCGCGAGCCACTCGCTCTCGCACACTGCCTTCCACGGATGGAAGCCAGACAGACATAAGAGATAGCTTCTCCAAGGTGGCCAGCGATCCGGAGGCCAAGAAAGTTCCCTTCGAGAAGAAAGGTGCGCTTAGCCCGAAGAAGAAGCCGCAGACCCCCAAGAAAGCACCCGCCGTTTCGAGGGACAACCTGACGAGCGAGGCCGAAGAGAAATTACCTGCCAGCGGTTCTCTCACTCCCCCGTCGTCAACCAAGCTGTCGACGATGGAAAAACTTGCGAGGAGTGAAAATTTGAGTTTGACCGACATCAAAAACCGAATCAACAAGTCCTCCAGATTGGCAGAATTGAAAGCCATAACGCGGCGAATTGCAAATTCCGATCGGACATTGGAGCAGTTGCAGAATCAGCAAAAGCAGCCTCAGATGCAAAAGTTTGACAAGGTGGAACTGGAAATCCCTGTAAGGTGAGCATCCTGTTGCAATTTCATTGTCAAGTATATCCCTAACATTCTGCTTCTCTTCTCTTGCACGTCAAGTCCACAAAAGACATATAAATCTCCGACCAAGGGATTGTTGACTCCAACCAAGAACGAAGATCTCTCAAAGGCGATCATGAGTCCTCAGAGACGAATTTTGTTTGAGCCCAAAGAAACGACGCAGAGTCCAGGAAAATCCAGTCCTAGTAAGGCCTATCAGAGATATCTGTCCCTGGCCGAAAGCGAGATATCTGGATTGACATTGCCTTACAACTACCGATTTCTAGCTGAAATATTCAGAAGTGTAGATACGGTAGTGTCCTTGCAAATCTCATATATTTTCACTAACAAACACATTTTTTCTCATGTTATGTCAAGGTGTTGTTTACGTTTCTATGTTTTTAAATAAAGTGTTCAATTTTTCTAGGTCTCGGCCATGCTGTTTAACAGAAAAGAATTGATAACGTTCAATAAACTGAAACCTGCTGTTCAAGAGTTGCTACGTCGTAACTTTACACTGGAGCATCTAGCTAAAATAAAAACGGTTTACCCTGACGCTTATACTTATCATCAGGAGAAACATCGAAATTTTGGTTCGGTGTCTAAGCAAGAAAAATACGAGCTGGTTCTAACACCTGTAGTTGAGAAAATTAATGGCAGAAATACGCCTGATGCGGATAACGTATTGAAAACTGCGTCCGAAAGTAATATGAGCCCGACGATATTGCTGGAAAGAAGGAAGAAATTTTACAACGCTTTGCTAGGTGCAGATTATTCCTCTGAAATGGTTTTATAATCGTCTCGCCAAACGTAATATTACGTATCTGTAAATTCGCTTTGTTGTAGAGAGGGTGAAGAATGAACACGAGAAATTTTTGTTGAGCTTTGAGTCACCGAGTTTGATGAATATACCGAGAGAGAAAATAGTACGCTGGCATCCCGAGTTCAATGTGGAGTCTTGCAAGCAAATTGAGCAAGCTGTGTTACCGCGACCACCTCACGTTGAAAAGCAAAGCGCTAGAGATGTTCTTGGTAAGAGTTGCGATATTGGCGGTAGTAATAGGAATTTTGTATCAAGAAAATATTTTTCTATAGCTACTACGAGGAGCTATTAAAACTATTATTGTCATTATGTGCGCACTTGATGTGCCAGAAGAGTATCCGAATATCACAAAATATCGGAATAACATTTAGAGTATACAGTCTTAATCTGGTCGACGACTTTAAATGGGTCAAAAAATTGCACGAAAGGAGTAAATAATAATGCGTTTGCATAAACTGTGTTTGTGAAACTCGGTTTTCACTCAGCTGTTGCAAAACTTTATTGATTAATCAGCACGTAACGCAATCGGTATAAAGCTACTGCTTACGCGTAATACTTGAACAGTTGCATTATGCGTCCTCGCATTATGCGCAACTCAACCCGATTCTTTATTAATCAATTAATTCTAGAAAATGGATTTAAAGTATCGCTTCGAAAGGACCAAGTTATTCGTAGAATATGTAGGTTTCTCCGTATATTGTGTCTCGTAATGGACAAAACACAGTTGTAAGATATACACGCCATTCGCGTTATTCCTGTTTTAATTTTTTTTTCTTTTACAGACAAAGCTAAATCTTTGTTCCATTGTGGTACACGTATGGAGAAGGCATTGCAAAAGCTCGCCGAAGCAAATCTAACTTCCAAGTCCAAATCGCCATCTTCTACAGAAGATTCCACAACCCAAACAACAGAGGATGGCATTCCAAAAGTTAACATCGCCATTGTGGCCACTCCGCCGAATACGCCATCCATACAAATTACTGATCATCTTAGTACGCTATTTAAAGGCATCCCCAAGGCACTGCTCGAAAAGGTAAGAATCAATGGCACCACTCGAGAAGTAAGAAACCTCTTTAGGAGAGACTGACAGAAAGGTGTGACATTTATTGCAAAATGTTAACAACGCATTATTGCTCTCTTTTAAATTGTAATTATTGTAGGTGCGTGCTAAGCAAGCGGCTAAGGCATTGGAAGCAATGACGAGACCACCGAATGCAGACAAGGAGGCTGCACTGTATTCCAGACTTCCCGAATTAGCGAAGCTTCTTCGCAATATTTTCGTGGCGGAGAAGAAGGGCGTTTTACCAATGGAAGTAGTTATGCAAAAATTGGACAACTCTTTCAGAACGAAATTAACGTTGCAAGAAATGGAGGAGCATATAAGACAGCTGTGCAAACTCCTACCTACGTGGACCAGTATACATAACGTACGAAAGGTGGATTATTTGAAATTAGATAAAAACGTTGAACTCGCTAAAATAATTAAACAATTAGAAATTTTGGCCAATGATAAAGTCACGACGTCATCCTAATTTGTACATTCTGATATAGTTTTTTTCGAATATGTCTGCACACTTCACCTAGTTGTGAAACTAATTATATTGCTATATTTAAGTTGGAAACGCTTCATTTTTTTGCATACTTACATCTATATCGTGATGAAAAGATGATTGTATAATGCATCTTGCTAGACATATACACACACTAGCACGTGTAATTGATGACTTACCATTTGTTCTTTACACTTCACAGAGCATCTTTGATAACTATAAAGTACGAAATAAATTGTAACAAATGGGGATACGCATGGCACACATTTAACATTTACTTTTCCTATTATAGAGATTATTTTCCTTTATTAAATTGAAGGTTTGTTTATTCAGCAAAATGCAATGACATATTCAATGTATAATATACATATATAGTACGAAGTTATTTTCAGAAAAATGTCAATGTTATTTTCGGTATTACAGTTGTATTGTAAAAGGCTTCTTAAATTTCTCAAGCAAACCCGCTGACGATGTATGCAATGCTTTTGATACTTGATATTGATATTTATTAATAAAGCTATCGAAAATTGTAATTATATATATATTGTGTATTACGCATGCCACATATGACATGTACATGTATTTTATTAAAATACGTTTATCAATGTAACATTTAAACTTGATTAAAATTTACCGTAGTTATTTTTACACGATTGTTAACATGGTCTTGACGTACATAATATTGTATCATTTGTATTGTGTATGTGCAAGTTTTTCATTGTGAAAGTAAATAGAAAACCTTACAATTTTTAAAAAGCAAACAAGGTAGCATAGAGCGCATAGAGTGATCCTCGGACGCGATGCGTCCTCTGTGGACATTGAGAACGTGGACATGAACTACGTAGCCAATGTCCACGTTTGGGCTGAGCGGATAATGCAGATGTGCGCGCTCTACAGAGGGCGTGTCGCTATGTTTGTATCTGCAATTGTTATGGAAGATTCATCGCGCAGCGATATCTCGCGTAGTAACTTAACAACTACTGCAGTGAGCTTGTATTATCGACCTATTTTCAAGTATGTGTGTATATGTATGTGCTCGGATAGTTCCTAACCTCTTTTTTCGTATTGAACAGCACGATTTCGTTGTACTTACTGGAATATATTACTGTCTATTCGCAATATAGCGTAAGCAGTTTCTTGAGTCGTACAATTAAAGGGCATTCACCATGTTCTTGACAAACATGCTGTTGAAAAAGGCAAAGAGCAAGTAAGTAAGGCTATTGATCAAATTGAACCTCAAAATTTGAGGTTGGAATATGTATCCGTACATCTAAACGTTTAAGTATTAAGAAATTTACAATCACGAGGTAAAATGTCGATTTCCGGTAGGAATAATTTTGAAATACGTGTCAACGTTTTATGCTTTATAAAGCGCCGATAGTAGGAGAGATTAGACATACCTAATGTATTATCGATTAAAATATATATTTGTTATGAATTTCTCGTTCTATAGGCACCTCATAGTCCTTACGCAAAGTGCTGTAACCGGCCACCGATTGGTGCGTATAAGAGAAAGATTAGCTGACAAATTAGAATTTATACACTTTGATCCTCTGGGTAAGTAACCATTTATAGAGGAAAGTCCCTTATTATGAGATAGAATCTTAACATGATATGTTTTTGCTAAATTAATAGGCATCATTTGTTGGTTCTACCATGAATTTATTTCTCTTGGAGTGAAATCTGTTTAGTGGAAGATTGATTGTTGGATTGCGTAGTCGTTGCAAAAGAGATTTGTGCTTGAATTTGGACGTTGAAAACCTACCTGTCTCATATTAGAGTCCTATCTCATAATGTAGGAGTTTTCTCGGTGTACGTGTACCTACACACACGTATGCAAAAGAACATGATTAAATGTAAAGGGGGAAAAAATTATTTTCCTTTACAGTTCAGCAGAAGGTGCTGTATAGAGAAACGAGAAAATTACATAGCTTATAATCCGCAAATGTTGCGGTGTATTTGACTAACTATTTACAAAATTTCTGTGTTTGACATACATCAGAATTAGAAAGCGTATTTGTATCTAATCTTTTATAGATAAAATACAAACTTATGTTATACAAATACCAATAAAAACTAATAACAGACGAGAGATTTTGTAACATAAATGGCTGTAAATAAATAAAAAATTACACTATAAGAGATGATCTTGTTATAAAGATATCGGTTGTTTTCCATGTCTTCTTATTCACAGAATCCTTATAGTTATTGGCGGTAATTTCAAATGTAACAATTTGTCATTTGACACCTAACGTTTAATATTATAATTTCATACTTCTATTAAAAAGAAGTAAAAAAAACCTTATCGATCTCACTTTACATTGAAAGTTGAGTAAAATATGCAACGAGCAAACATTTTGTCCAAGTTTCATGTCGGTCATGTCGGTCGAAAGGACAGAAAGCGAAAGAGACGAAGAGAGACTCGGCGAGAGACCAGCCAAGAGTCTCGACATCGAGATTGGGGGTAGATTTCCTTTGATCCTTAACAAGGAACACAAAGTTGTATTATTTCCACCTGGGTTTCAAACGGTTCAGAATCCGCCAGGCGTGAAACACGATCCGCTTTCTCTCTCTCCCCTCCCCTCTCTCGCTCTCTCTCTATCTCTCTCTTTATCTCGCGCCCGCTTAGACTTTTCATCCTTCTCTCGATGCCAAAGACTTCTCTCAGTACCTCTTGCTCTTTCGCCCTCTCTCTTTCTCGTCTTCATTTCCTTCTCGTTCCTCTCTCGGTTTTGCTTGCGGTACGGGAGCGGCAAAGTCGTGCAGTTTTACTGATGTTACAAATTCAATTTCTCCTCGGCCGAGACCATTGTCCAGAGGAAAGGAGGGGAAACCGCACACAGAAGGGGTTACATCCCGGAGAATCGTCTCTCTATCTTTCGCGATTGTGCGCGTGACAGTTGGCGAGATTCGAAATCTTCCCCGCTTTTTCCCATCTCCCTCTTTCTCTCCCTTTGAAGAAAAAACTTGCCAACTTCCTCCTGGACGCGCATGCACGCACGCAGCACGCAGCACGCAAGCGTATAATCGTAAAACGGCATTTCGGCCGCGCGACGAGGACACTATAGCCTTTTAACACGTTCGTTTCGAAACGCATCACGCGTTTTACATTTCGCAAGATTAATTCTTAGCAATAATACCAATTTGAAGCTTTTGTCATCAAGAATACACATTAAAATGACTTATTTAGTTCAGTCATTCATCGGAAACCGACGATTCGGTTACCAACTCGTTACATGGAATTCTCGCTTCGCAAATGGAGTAGTCTGTAATTGTGACGCTAATTGTAAGAAAGAAAAAGCGTGCAAATGGGAAAAATACCAGTAGAGAGTTTGTGCAGAATCGCGGGAAATATAGGAGAAAGGAGAGAGGAGGAGAGAGAGGAGGGGGGGGGGGGGAAGAAAACAGATGCGAAAGGAGGCTGGTTTTCCGGGAGCGTTTCAGTTGCCTCGCGTTCGAGGGTGTTTTTTCGCATCCGCGCGAGTTACTCTCCATGCTTGTTAATAGTGGGCGCGAGCCCGCTAAAGTGGCCTCGCTGCTAATTAACTGCGTTATTTTTTACAACTCTTTCCTGCGCATTTCCATCCGTCATTGCCCCTCTCCTCCCAAATCACCCGGTTTTCTCTCTGGCGCTTCTCGCAACGCCGCTCGCAATGGAGTTGGATATTTACCGTGGCGAGTGCCCACGGCTTCCGTTTTATTTATCCGCCGCGCCACGGTTTTTGCCACGATAAAGGATTCGAAGAAACGCGTGCATACTTAAAACTCGACAGTAAAAAAGGTATAAAAGTATAAAGGCTATTCTACAATTGCGTAAACGTAGTTGTAGGGTTGTAGGAGTAGAAGCGGTAGTAAGTGTTGTACAACAAAGTAATATACAATAGAGTGAGATACATCGTAATTAAAGTGAATGATAACGAATCAGAGTACAGTTTAGCGTTTGATGAGAGCGGACACGTGACAGAATTCTGATTGGTTGGCCATTACGTTCTACATCGTTGTAGTCGTGAAAGATGAAGTTCAGCCATCTTTTACAACAGGCTTTATAATCGGAAATA